ACATCTCACCTACCTCATTTAATACACTCCACCCATTTTCATTAAGGGTATTATGGTAAACTTTTATCTTTTTTCAACTCTCCTAAAAAACCGCAAAAAATCAAAACGAGAAGATCTTAGGGAGACGGAGGGAGTAATATAATAACGTAAGAATATAAAGGGACCAAATATGTAAGTTACCAAATCCTAATTGGAATTGGCAAGTCATCCCCAATGCTAGATGTTAAATATAAGTATCCCTCCATAGGTTTAGTAGGCGTTTAGCCGATCAGACTTCCCGTTCTTCCTATACTTAGCCGATTCAACCTCGGACTTCTTTCTTTCCGATCGGGGACATAGCAGTGGGAATTAGAGAGGACAACGAGAGGCGCGATCTTCTTCTTCGTTCTTTGCCAATTCCTATTCGTCAACCAGTTAAGCGAGGGAGACCACCGGGAAGGGAAATCGCCAGAACAATTCGCCGGAAAAACTTGCCAGATTCCTACCGGTAGAATTGGTATTTTTCATCGATTATATCGAGGTGAGTGATTTATCTCTGGTTAAGATTGGTTCATAGATTAAGATTCGTTAATACATTCTCGTTCAATTGATGATGAGTTTGTGATTATGATTATTGAATTGTGTGATTGATTGTGTTGAAATTGAAATTGGGATTTGGGGTAATTGAGTTGGGTTGTTGACTGTGCTTTGCTTCGTTCTTCTGTTTTGTTCCTTTCTCCTCCCTCTGTTTTCTTCTCTTCTTTTCCCCCTTTGCCTCTTCTATTTTGTTGTTCTCTACTGGGCTTAGCTACTGTGTGAAAGAAAAGAGGGAGCAGACTACAGAGCCTTTCCTTTGAGAATTAAACATCTTGTTCCAACAATTACAATTTGACCACGGGATTCTCAAGTTGTTCTTAATTTGGTCCTTCCATGTACTTGACCTTAAAATTTGATAATGATCCCAAATCAAACCAAATTTACTATACTAATGAATTAGGGTAAATTTTATGTTAAACTGGAATTGTAAACTGGGCACCTAGTAGACCTAGGCAGATTTTAGTTGAATTGAGTATTAGAAATCACCATTGAGATTAGAAAATAAGGTCATGCGGGTGACGGCGTGCATCCGGTGGTCTCGAGGGTTAAAAACGAGCGCACGGTGGTCATTGACCCCTGGCGAGAGCCAGGGGGGCCTCAACCCCCTCCATCGCGAGAGCTTTGGAGGTATGAGTGTGGGTTTGGGCGAGAGCCTGGATTCCATTACTCCCGTAGGTATGAATTGGATTATATCTGGAGTAAGGATGCGTGAGAACTAAACTGAAATATAAGGGTGTTTGATTATATATTAATGAGTACTAGTCTATGAGTTAGTTTTACCGTTAGATACTTCCACTCTTCCCATTTTTTCAAGTAGGGATCAAGGATTGGATGAGGAGCAGCCTGGAGGATAGTGAAGCGTGATGCTGGTGGATGGCTCGGAGCTGTTTGAAATTGAATTAAATACTTGTTGACTTTTATTTTGTTAAACTACAAGAATGTTTGACTATGTTGTTTTAAAGGCTTCCGCAACGTTTGAATTATTTACTCCGATTAATTATGAATTGTTTTTAAATAAATGTGAATTGATATTTTATTATTAAATGTTTTAAAATATTATGCATGTGAATACCAAATCCGTAACAACCCGACTCGCTAACTCGTCGGTTCGGGTTACGCGGGTTGGGGTGTTACATTAACCTAGTGTAGTTCGAAGTGTGTTATGCGATGTATACGTTTAATAAACTGAAGTTCGCAGTGTGAAGTATATGTGCAAAGTGTAAGTGTTAGAAGACATGATTTCAACTTCACGTGTTTGACTGAATGTGTATATAGGTTATACGTCTATTGTTTGAGTTTATACATTCCTTTACTTAATTTAATAGAATGTTTTCTATTTTATTATTCAAAAGGAGCATCACAGATGGGTTATGCCGTTGCAGCTATTGCTTCTCGCCCTGCTTTGTCATGTTATGATTTCATCTCACCATATTACGAACGGGAATCATTAGTTGCTACTTACAATAGCATTGTGCACCCAATTGGAGATAAGTCTTCTTGGAGTGTTCTGCCGGATGTTGCATCAGTGATTTGCAAGCCTCCATCCTGTAATAAGCGTCCCCCGGGTAGACCAAAGAAGAGGAGACTTCCATCAGTTGGTGAATTTCAAATAGGCCAGAGGCGTAGAAAGCAAAGATGCACACGCTGTTTGAATTTGGGGCATAACGTAAAAACATGCAAAAACTCAATACCAAACTAACACTGCATTGTTTCGTATTTCGTATAATTTACAATTCTCAATTGTTTCCTTCATCGATTTTTGACGTTGTTCGGACACATTATTTGGTTTTTTCATTCTTTTATTAATTGTACTTCTTATAATATAATTTGAATTTTGAATTAATATATAATATTTGTCTACTTGCAACATTGAATTGCAAAAAGTGAATAAGGTATAAGTTGCAATCTTTTATCTTATTAAATTCCTTGTGAAATGTGGAAGTGTACAAGGACAGTGATTTTATGGCAGTGTATACATTGTGGCAGTGTAGATATATTGTGGCAGTGTACATATTGTGGTGATGTATTTCAGATATTGAATTTTTTGCAGTGTATATATTGTGGCAGTGTATTTCAGACATTGAATTTTTGAAAGTTCATATTGTGGCAGTGTAGAGAGTATATATTGCAGTGTATAATTACCATGAAAAATAAAATGTCACAGCTTAAAAAGAATTCTGGTCTTTTTTTGCAGTGTTGTATGTGTTAGGGCACTAAATTCAATCTCAAACATATTGTGGCAGTGAAGATCAGAGAATTTCATACTTATTTATAATGTAGCAGTAAAGAGTATACGTTGCAGTGTATATTGAACTTAAGGATTTAAATTTCACATCCTAAACCGAATTGGGGTCTCCAACTTCTATCAACAATTCTTAGCAGTGTCATACGACCATGTTTGGTTAGTGTCTTTTCGTCAAATGTGATATTAACTAAATTCTGATCTCATACATTTAAAGATTATATCTTTGGATTTGATTTGATTTGATCTGTTTTGGTCTAATTCGATCTAATTTGATCGGATCTGATGCATTTATAGACTAGATCAGGCAAACAAGACACGACCTATATAATTAAATTGTTTTTTGAAGATTTGATCTCATCGAACTAGATTTGAATTTGAATTTATTCGATATTTTTGAAGATTTGATCTGATGTTAATAGATTTGAATTTGATTTGATGTGATCATATCTATTTTGGTCTGGTTCAATCTAATTAGATCCGATATGATGCATTTAAGGATTAGATCATGCAAATATGACACGACCTATATAATTAAATTGATTTTTTTTTAAATATCTGATCTGATCTTACTAGATACGAATGCGATTTGATCTGATCAGATCTATTTTGGCTTGATTCAATCTAATTAGATCCGATATGATGCATTTAAGGATTTGATGAAGCATGTAACACCCCAACTCCCGTAACCCGAACCGACGAGTTAGCGAGTCGGGTTGTTACTAATTTGGTATTCACATGCACAATTTTCAAAAAACATTTAAAAATAAAACAAACATTCATATTTATGGAAAAACAATTCATTGTTAATCGGAGTAAATAACACAAGCGTTGCGGAAGCCTTTAAAACAACGTTCAACATTCTAGTAATTTAAGTAAAACAAACTATATTTAATTTAAACAAAATAACATTGGGCCATCCACCAGCGTCATGCCTCACTGTCCTCCAGGTTGCTCCTCATCCAATCCTTGATCCTACCTGAAAAAAAATATAGGGAGAGTGGAAGTATCTAACGCTAGAACTAACTCAAAGACTAGCACCCATCAAAATATAATCACACAATATCATAAGAATCAGCAATTATCATTATCGAATATCATGATCAAATAATTATTTATATTCAGTTCATGTTGTTCATTTACACTTAACCCTATAGGCTAAGGTTTCCTTTTGACTAAGTCATGGACACTCGGACGGATCCCCCGAGGCCATGCTTGACTAAAACCCAAGGAGAATCTGAAAGGTAACCATGCAAGGATAGGCAGCGGAATATAAAAATTTTTAACATCCTAACATGATTATCTTGCCCAGAATCACGTACTAAAACATATAGTAGTAAGAAATTTATACCTTTCTCCGTAAGCGGTAAAAACAAAGAAGTCGTAGGAAGAGCGTTGAAAGTGCAAACGTAACCGTTCAAGCGTCCGGTCTCCAATTTTGACACACGAACAACGCCAGAGTCTACCACAATCTTTATGCTAGTAAAGATTATAGTAGTATAAAATATAAAGATTAATATTTGGGATAATAATAATCTTGTATATTTCTATAGAAAATATTTCTAATAATAATTAGAAAATATTATAGATATTTTCTATACACAAAATGATATTTATGGAACCAAAATAATATTTTTCTCTCTCTTAAAATGGTATGGCCGAATCAAAAAAAGCTACATTAGCAAAATGGAGTGAATTGTTTAAATAAAACAAAGATGCTCCATTATTTGGTCATTAGCTAAATGACAAAATTAATTAGTCCACTAATTTATCAATCAAGCAAAATATTAGCAATTTGTCAATCCATTTTATCATATGGCCGAAAGTTTTGATTTGAGAAGGATATTTAAAATCCTTCTCCACTCAAATGTTCAAAGTGTATTTTATTTGACACCAAAAATTAATATAAAATTAATTTTAAATCAAATAAAATACCCATGTCATTTTTAAACAAGTATAAAATATACTTCAAATAGTTTATGTCAAAATAATTATTTTCATAATTAAAATGACAAACCAAAATAAAATATTCAATATACAATATATATATATATATATATATATATATATATATATATTAATCGGCACATATATATAAAATATATATATAACCGAATATTTATATATATAATATTATATTCCAAAATATTTTATTTTACTATTTTACAAATATACAAATTACTTATTATCCCATTGTTTAATCCTACTTCTTAAATTGTCCAAAGTGTGTGACCCGTATAGGCACTTATAAAGCTGGCCACAGTATTGACTCTGCACCAATACTATAAGCAATAAGCGGTATCTAGCAACACATTATTGCCCCCAGATTATAAGTTAAGACGTTTGCACCGTCAAAACCTTTCCACGACTCAGACTCCGTGTAACTGTATCCCTTTGTCTCAATGTCTAAACTCAATGCAAGGGATTAATAAAATCCAACTTGTATCCATTAAGTCATTCACTGATTTATCAAGTCCGACTAATAGGAACAAACGTCATAAAAGCATCTCAGCATGGGCATGCAATTTCCTTAGTCATAACTTATCAGTGGGCCCCATAAGACATTAATATCTTTAAAAAGAGTAGTGACAAATCCTGTGTACGTAATCTACGTTTCTGAATACGCGCTGCGGCATACCCAAAACAAAGCCTGTATACCATCCTTATTTCATATGGCTTAAGACAATGCATCAAAGTATGCGGGTTCACATATGCAGAAAACGTAATACTTCAAGTCGAAGGATAGTTACACCCGTGGTCGCGCTAAAGATGCTTAGAGCATGAACTAAAAATTCAAGCAACATCTTTAGAATGGGTCAGTCCGGCATCCTATTATCTCTAGATAATATCTGCCCATGTGCGGATGCGAACACACCGTCATTGACCATGAGACTAAGTCAAACATCCAACACACACTAGTCTCACATGCATTAACGATATCCCACTCTCGTTAATACTCGACTATGGACATTTAGATAAATATTTATTTCAAGATGTTAGTCTCATCAACAGAATAACACTATCTGATAAACATCTTTAAATATAAATCTAGGAATATAATATTTGTTTGCATTAGCATGAGATGTGTAAACATATTATATCTGCCTATACATAATAGAATAATGATAAACAGTTAGCCATCAGGGCACAACTCCAACAGAATCCTCAATGGGCGGGTTGGAGCCCCTACAAAGGAATCCCTAGGTAGGCTAATGACTCCCGTACGTACGTTTTTAACCCAAGACCTGTGAGTTATGCGAAGCTCGCCCCACCAGGCCTAAATCCTTAATCTTAATCCTTATGAATTCAGTTTAACTCAAACTTTCCTAGATATACTAGGAGACATGTTCCCATAACCCAATTCAATCACATAATTGTCTTTACGTAACTTTTTAGTTTAGACAATGACTTAGATTAGTTTGTAGTCTTAAATTATAATCTAGAGGCATAGGATAGAAGAGGGCTTGTTTGCAGATTTATAAAACCTAACACTTTAATTCCATTGGAGAAAAAAACAAGATCTAGCGGTAAGAAGTAGCGCCACCCAACAGTGACTCCTCACTGGATTGCAACGGCGAGGCTCAGCGACAGCAGCCAGCAGAAACTATGGATAGTAGGGTGCCTCGACGATTTCAGCGAACACACAACAACCGTAGCACCCTCGCCGGAAAACGGCAGTGTGAAGACGGCCAGGCAAAACGGAAAAAACTAGAACTAAAGGACAAGGGAGCAGAGAAGGACAGAGAAAAGATCATAACAGAATGTCCCCAATTCCAAACTCAATCACCCAATTAATTCAACAATTCAATTCACAAATCCAGCATCAATTGCACAAAAATATACTAACGGATCCTAATCTACGAATCAATTCTAACGAGAGATAATTCACTCACCTCGATTGGATCGACAAAGAATCTAAGTGGCGACTAGATTCCGGCAAAGAACCCTGGCGATATCCGGCGAAGCTCCCGGCGATTCCTCTGCTCTGGACGGAAGTTGCGTGAGAAGAAGAAGAAGGCAGGACCATTTAAATGCCTTCTACCCGATCCCTATTCGTAACGTAAATAAGTTTCTTTCCCCTTTTTATTTATTATTGTCCCCCCTTATATTATATATTATATTATAAGACCATATGTAGTTTACTGCCGTCAACAAAGTCCTTTTTCCGTCTGTCTACTACGCACCCAATTCATATGCATCAATTCACTTTCCGTCTCTAACAAAACTCTCGCTCTTTCTTCACCGCCCCACGATCCCCGCCCTTCCAATCGGCTTCCTATCTATATGTGAATTCGTGTGCCCGCTAGAATTCTTCTCCTTCACTTTGCCTAGGTAATTCTTCTTGGTTCTTCTTCTTTTCTGTCTCTTCTTTTCTATTGTGATTTTTAGTTTCTGATCTTGTCCCCCACCATGCCTTTGCTGCTTAATTTCTTCTGTACTCAAAGATTTTGTAAGTTTAGGTTTTGTTCTGGACTGTACAAATCCAGAACTGCTCTAATTGAAAGTGTTAGGTTCTGATTATATCTCTCTGCTATAAAATATGATTGTGAAATTTATTTCTGTAACACCCTAATCCGTCCAGGTCTGCAGCCTCTTTCGGACTAAAGTATAAACGTGTGGTAGTCGTAAACATTCAAAAATATTTCAAACATTTAAAATTTTATTTCATAATAAGTCATTCAAAATAATAACGGAGTAATTTAATATTGCGGAAGCTTAATAAAACATAATACAAACATAATTAGTTTTATGTCTTTTCAAACAGTAATCCAAATCCAAAACACACATCCACCCGACCATCTCGTCCCATCTGCCTCAGGGAAATCATTGCTTCATTCTTTTTGTTTACCTGTGTGTAGCAAATAAAACATACTACACGCTCAGCGTTTAAGCTGAGTAAGCATATCTAATGCGTCGAACATCCATATAAACTGAATATAAATTCATAATCAAATCAATTGATATCATGCACATAATGTTTAGTTCAGATACTCAATGATTATTAGTCAATATTCATCATTCATTATTTTATTTCCACATTCAACGTTTATCCGTCGCTCATAATAATTACAATATTCAATTCATTATTCATCATTCAATATTTATTCATATTCAAAATTCAACATTCAATAATATCCTTAAACTATTCTTAGTCTAAGGCCAATCACTTTAATATTTGTCAATACTTAAACGAATTCTAGTTTAAATAATTAAACTATATTCCAGTATAAAATATTCCTAAATAATCCCTAAGCTAGGCCTAGTTTAAGATAAAAGAGTTTTGAAAATCTTAAACTTACCTTCACTTAAGGCCAACCAAAAACCGACAGCGTAGAGTTCACTGTTGGGTGGGTGGTACCCCCAAACGAGTAGGTACTCAAGTTTGGTTCTTGGATCCCGTACGTACGTTTTAACCCTAGCCACTGGGGTTCATACCCGCAAGGCCTAACTTAAATAGGTATATCTTAGAGGTCTTCTAGATACCCTTAACAATACATATTATTTTTCACAATCATCAATGTATTCATTATGATTTAATCATTCATAATTATCATTTTTAATCAGAATATTCATCAAGATTTAATCATCATAATCATCAATCAATAATCATTACCATATTCATCAATCAACATAATATTCAATAACGATTAGAAGCCTAGCTTCGGGTGTTAACACCCTAACTTACCGTCATGCATCACATAACATTTTTATTTGTTAGAAACATCATTTTTTTTTATGGTAAATCATTTTTCCAATGATCATAATCAATTGGTGGATTTTAGAGCATATATTTTCAGAATATTTTTGGAACACGATCTGGACTTGAGAAAAAATGATTTTTATTTTTAAAATAATCAATTAATACCTAAAAATCGATTTTTATATTTAAAATAATCCATTAATAGCTAAAAATAGATTTTTATATTTTAAATAATCAATTAATTGCTAAAAATCGATTTTTATATTTTAAATAATCAATTAATCACTAAAAATCGATTTTTATATTTTAAATAATCAATTCATTACTAAAAATCTATTTTTATATTTAAAATAATCAATTAATACTTAAAAATCGATTTTTATAATTAAAATATTCAATTAATAACTTTAACTCGATTGTTATGATTAAAATAATCTATTATTATTTTTTTATATACTGACTTCGAATTCCTCTTCTGAACACAGTTCTAATCGATTCGTAGGAAGGAAATAATCGATTTTCGGCTACTGTTCATCATCATCTTCCTCTGGTCAGTTTTGAGTATTTTCATTTTTAATCACCAAACTTCAATTAAATTATATAGAAATGTTTCAGCGGCTGAGTGGAGCGGGCTGCTATCTTCTCCGATTTTAAACGTAAGTCCCTGATTGGGACTAATTTGGTCTGAGTCGGGGAACACTTTTTGGTCCAACTTTCTCCGAATTGCAATCCGATTGAACCGTTGGAATCAGACAGTTAAACTCTACATAACGATATAATTTTTATTATTTATTGACAAACTTTATAATTCACATATTTTTTTGGGTCCTTCTCAGTAATTAATTAATTATCAATTAATTAATTCTGATAGGCCTATTTTCGGGGCGTTACATTTCTCTCCCCCTTAAAATAATTTCGTCCTCGAAATTACCTGAGTCGTTGATTGAAGAGGTTCGGATATTGCATTCTCATTGACTCTACAGTTTCCCATGTTGCTTCTTCAGTCGAGTGATTCCTCCATAGTACTTTGACTAGAGGGAGAGATTTATTTCTTAGTTCCTTGACTTCACGTGCCAAAATTTGGACAGGTTCTTCTTCATAAGTCAAATTTTTATCAAGAGTTTTAGTTCCATCAGTCAAGACATGCGATGGATTAGAACGGTATTGTTTCAACATTGACACATGGAATACATCATGAATTTTGTTTAATTCGGGTGGAAGTTCTAACCGATAGGCCACTGGACCTACGCGTTCAGTGATTCGGTATGGCCCAATATACCTTGGACTCAGTTTTTCCTTCCTACCAAATCGTAGTACCTTCTTCCATGGTGAGACTTTCAGGAATACTTTGTCATCAACGTTGTATTCAATCTCACGTCGTTTCAAGTTGGCATAAGATTTTTGTCGATCGGAAGCCACTTGCAGTCTATCTCTGATTAGACAAACCTTTTCTTCAGTTTTGCGGACGAGATCGGGTCATTCAAGCTTTTGCTCGCTTAATTCTGTCCAGCATACTGGGGTTCTACAACGTCTCCCATACAAAGCTTCATAGGGGGCCATTTGGATACTTGCTTGATAACTGTTGTTATAAGCGAACTCCATTAGCAGTAAGTATTGTTCCCAATTGCTTCCAAAATCGATTACACATGCTCTTATCATATCTTCCTGAATTTGAATTGTTCTTTCAGATTGTCCATCAGTTTGTGGATGAAATGTTGTACTAAAGTTGAGTTTAGTACCTAAGGCTTTCTGCAGACTCTTCCAGAATTGCGACGTGAATCGAGGGTCACGATCAGAAATGATAGACAAAGGTACACCATGTAATCTTACGATCTCACAGATGTACAATTCTGCCAACTTTTTCAATGACGTATCACGTCAAATTGGAATGAAGTGAGATGATTTGGTTAATCGGTCAACGATCACCCAAATAGCGTCATTCTTCTTAACTGATAATGGAAGTCCGATCACAAAGTCCATCGTAATTCGTTCCCACTTCCATTCAAGAATGGTAGGTGGATGTAACAGTCCACTTGGCACTTGGTGTTCAGCCTTGACTTGTTGACAAGTTAGACATCGTGTTGTAAATTCAGAAATTTCCTGCTTCATTGTGGGCCACCAATATGTCTTCTTCAGATCTTGGAACATTTTATTACTACCCGGATGCATGGTATATGTGGTTTCATGAGATTCACGCATTAAACGCTCTCTCACTTCGCCACTAGGAACTACCAAATGATTCTTATAGAATAAAATTCCATCATTCACAGTGAAATCTTGTCTCTCCCACTTAGAGACAAGCTCACTTGTTTTCAAACAGTATTCATCTTGTTTCTGTGCAGCATAGATCTCATTTTCGAGTGTTGGTTGGATTCGAAGTTCGGCCACCATCTTCCGACTTAACGCATCAGCTACCACGTTAGCCTTACCAGGGTGATAGTCGATATAGCAGTCGTAATCTTTGATAAGTTCCAGCCATCTTCTTTGTCTCAGATTCAACTCTTTCTGAGTTAACAGGTATTTCAGACTTTTATGGTCTGTATGAATATATGTCGTTTCTCCGAAGAGATAATGACGCCATATTTTCAGAGCAAATACAACTGCTGCTAACTCAAGATCATGGGTGGGATAGTTACATTCGTGAGGCTTCAACTGCCTTGATGCGTATGCCACGACCTTACCGTCTTGCATAAGTACACATCCCAAGCCGTTATGAGATGCGTCACTAAAGATTATGTAGTCTACACCCGGTACTGGTTGTGTCAGTACATGTGCTTCTGTCAGACATTTCTTTAGTTTTTCAAAGCTTTGTTGGCATGCGTCGGTCCACACGAATTTCACGTCTTTCCTTAGGAGTTTGTTGAGTGGAGTTGCGATCGAGGAAAAACCTTCAACGAATCGTCGATAGTATCCAGCTAACCCTAGAAAACTTCTTACTTCTCGAACATTCCTTGGAACTTTCCACTCGGTGATGGCAGATATTTTGCTGGGGTCCACTTTGACACCTTCTTTCGAAATCACAT